AGAGAAAGAGACAGAACGAGAATAAAAAAGAGAGGATAGAGGAGAGAAAAAAAGAGAGGGGGAGATGCAGAGGAAAGGAAAAGAAAGAGAGAAGGATATGTAGAAAAGGAAGAAAAAGAGAGAAAGGAGCGAACGAAGAGAAGAGAAGAAAAAAACGACGGACAGGAAAAACAAAAGAAAGAGAGAGAAAAGAAAGAGAAAGGACACAAAGAGGAGAGAAAGAAGAAGACACAAAAAGACCCAAAGAGAGAAAGAAGAAAAAGAGCACAGACAGCGAGAACGAGACAGACACACACTCACTCATACGCAACGCACACACTCATGATAGCAATTAAACAATACGCCTTGTGATAATGTGTGTGTCATCCACGTGCCTGGGCTAATTAAGGAATTATTTAAGGTTGAATCTGTTTACCTGGCGTAATGTGTGGGATATTTTGTTTGTTGTTTGTTTTTGTTTGTTGTTTTGAGATTGGTCCAGCAGTTGCTTGTACTATAGTGATTACTTTGATCATTATCATTATTAGTCATTATTATCGTCACCATTTTGTATTATTATCATAATTATTTCATTATCGTTATATCATTTTTCGTTTGTTCTGGATTTCTGTTATTGCTACTATTATTAACTACTATTACTACCATTTGGGGGGAAAAGAAAGAAGAGAGAGAGAGGGAGAGAACGAAAGAGAGAGAGAGGGAAAGAATGAAAGAGAGAGAGAGGAAGAAACGAAAAAAGAGAAAAAAACAAAGAGAAACAGAAAGAGAAAAGCAAGAAAGAAAAATGAGAGAGAGAGGGAGACGAAAGAGAGAGAGAGAAGCGAGCGAAAAAGAGAGAAAAAAACAAAAACAGATCGAGACAGAGCAAGGAAAAAGAAAAATGAATCCAATAGAAACAAAACTAAATATAGAAATAGAAACACTAACCCAAACTCCCCCCCTTCCCCCCTTCCACTCACCACCACACCACCCCTTCCTCCCCCTCTCCTACCTCACCCACCCACCCTTGCCCTCACCCACCACCCACCCCCCTCCTCCCCCCTCTCCTACCGCAGGTGCAACCGCTACCTCTGCGTCAGAACAAGGCGATGGTGGGAACGCGCCCTCTGGATCAACATGGCGGGCCTCTTCGTCCCATGATCTCTGCGCCTTCGGGGGGCCCGTCATCTTCGCCGCTACTGGGACTGCGACCCCATCAGCGCGGGCGTGGTCAGCTCGGCCGATCAGCTGATGCCCCTCTTTGTCATGGACATCCTCGGCGGCTGGAGGGGCCTGCCGGGGCTCTTCGTGGCGGGGATCTTCGCCGGGGCCCTCAGGTGGGTGTGGGGGTGTGGGGGGGGGGATGGGGTGGGGGGGGAGGGGTGGGGGTGGGGTGGATGGAGGGTGGGGGAGTGGAAGGTAGGAGGAGGGTGGGGGGGTGGAAGGAGGGTGGGTGGTGAGTTAGGTAAGGGGAGGGTGGGTGGGGTAGGATGGGGGGTTAGGTAGGGGTGTGGAAGGGGGTAGGGGGGGTGGGTGGGAGGGAATGGAGGAGGGTGGGGTTAGGTAGGGGTTGGGTGGTGAGGGTGGGGGTGGTAGGGGTAGGGTGTGGGTTGGGTGGGGGTTAGGTAGGGGGGGGGGGATGGTGGGAAGTTTGCTGGGTAGGGGAGGATGGTGGGGGGGTTAGGTAGGGGTTTGGGGGGGGGTTGGGTGGAGGTTAGGTAGGTGAGGTGGGAGAGGTAGGAAAGTGGAAAGGGTTATGGGGGAGGGTGGGTGGATGGGGTTGGGTAGGGATTAAATGGGTGGGGTGGAGATTAGGTGGAGGAGGGAGGCTGAATGGGGTGGGGTAGGGGTTAGGTAGGGTGGATGGGATGGAGAATGGGGTGCAAGGGGAGAGGGGAATTACTATTTCCATTTAACCTTTTTTCCATGAGTATTCGAATGGCTTCTCATGATTAAGACCTCGTCATTATCATAAATTAAAGAAGGATATGATGGCTCTACCTCTAGTAAGTATAACAATATCTAGTAATTTACCAGATAATCCAGTATAATTGATATTTCATTTAAGTATATATTGATATTCCTCACCCCCCCTTCCCCGCTTCCCCTCTCATCCCCTCTCTCTCTCTCCCCCACACCTCACAATCTCCTCCCCCCCTCTCCTCCCCGCCCCCCCAACTCTCATCCCTCCTTCCCCCTCTCTCACCCCCACCCTATCTCTCCTCTCAGCCTCCTTCCCCACTCTTACCCCCTTCCCTCCCCTCTCTCACCCCACCTCCACCCTCCCTCCCTCTCACCCCCCCTCCCCCCTTCTCTCTCTCCCTTCCCCCCCTTCCCCTTCTCACCCCCCCCTCCCTTCTCTCTCCCCCCCACCACAGCACCGTCTCATCCGGCATGAACTCCCTGGCCGCCATTGTCCTCGAAGACTTCCTGAAGAACGGCTGCTACAAGACCATCTCCGAGAGGGCGTCGACGGTGGCCTCCAAGCTGCTGTCGCTCCTCTTCGGGCTCTTGACGTTCGCCTCGTGTTCGTGGCGGAGCAGCTCGGGGGCGTCTTGTCGGTAGGGTGGGGTGTGGTGGTTGGGGTGGGGTGGTTTGGTTTTTTTGTGAGTTTGGGTGGTGGTGGTGTTTGTGAGTTTGTTTGGGTGTGTGATGGTGTTTGTTTGGGTTGTGGTGGTGGTTTTGTTTTGTTGTTTGGGTTGTGTAGTGTTTGTGAGTTTTTTGGGTTGTGTGATGGGTTTGTTGGGTTGTGGTGTGGTTTGTTTGTTTGTTTGGGTTGTGTAGTGTTTGTGAGTTTGTTCGGGTTGTGGTTTTGTTTGTTGTTGTGTAGTGGTTGTGAGTTTGTTTGGGTTGTGTGTGTTGTGAGTTTGTTTGGGTTTGTAGTGGTTGTGAGTTTGTTTGGGTTGGGTTTGTTTGGTTTTGGGTGTGTAGTGGTGTGGTTTTGTTGGGTGGTGTTTGTTTGTTTGTTTGGGTTGTTTGAGTTTGTTCGGGTTGTGGTTTGTTTGTGTTAGTGGTTGTGAGTTTGTTTGGTTTGTGGTGTTGTGTTGTTGTGTGGTTTGTGAGTTTGTTTGGGTTGTGGTTTGTTTGTTGTTTGGGTTGTGTAGTGGTTGTGAGTTTGTTTGGGTTGTGGTTTGTTTGTTTGTTTGGGTTGTGTAGTGTTTGTGAGTTTGTTCGGGTTGTGGTTTTGTTTGTGTTGTGTAGTGGTTGTGAGTTTGTTTGGTTGTGTGGTGGTTGGTAGTTGTTTGGTTGTGGTAGTGGTTGTGAGTTTGTTTGGGTTGTGTTTGTTTGTTTGTTTGGTTGTGTGGTTGTGAGTTTTGTTGGATTGTGGTGGTTTTTTGTGAGTTTGTTTGGGTTGTGTAGTGGTTGTGAGTTTGTTTGGGTGTGGTTTGTTTGTTTGGTTGTGTAGTGGTTGTGAGTTTGTTTGATTGTGGTGGTGTTTTGTGAGTTTTTTTGGGTTGTGTATGGTTGTGAGTTTTTTTTGGGTTATATTTGTTTGTGATTGTTTGTTTCGGGTGGTTTGTTTAGGGTTTTGGTGTGTGTGAGTTTAGGTTGTGGTATTTGTTTATGAGTGTTTGAGGTGGTTTTGTTTGGGTTGTGGTAGTGTTTTGTTTGTGAATGTGTTTATTGGTGAGTCTGTGGTGGTTTTTGTTTGTGCTTATTTGTATATTTGCTAGGGTTTGTATCTGTTTGCGATTCTTTGTGTGTTATGTGTTGTTTAGGTTTCAGTTCGTGGTGTTCGATTTGTGTTTTGGGTCTGTGTTTTCTATGTTTATTTGTTTGTGTGTTCGGAATTGTGTTTTGATTAGGGTTTGTGTTTGTTTATGTTTTGTGTTTGGATTTGTATGCATACATGACTGCATGTGTTTGCGTGCTTGTATATCTGTTTGTATGTTTTGTGTGCGTTTATGTACTTGCGTGTGTGTTTGTGTGTGTTTATGTACTTGCGTGTGAGTTTGTTTACAACTGTCTAAATATCCATCAAACACACAGCTTATATTTACGCTCAGGACTGACAACCTTTCCACTTTCTCCAGGCTGCCCTTAGCATCTTTGGCATGGTGGGAGGACCTTTCTCGGCTCTTCTCCTTGGGTATGTTCTTCCCTTGGGCCAACAGCGTGGTGAGTTCGGTCAAGATTTCGTGCCGTTGTGAAAGTAAGGAAATTCGTTGTAAACAGATGTCTTCAGTTACGGGCATCGGGTGGTTGGTTGTTCGTTTGTAGTTATAGGTGGTGTAGCGATTTTTTTTTTTTTTATTCATTTATCTGTTTATCTATTTTATTTATAATTTATTTTTCTATTTGTCAATATTGCGTTACTATTATGGGATATTGTATTGGCAGTGTCTTTACTTTTGGAGTATCGTCTTAAACTTTTCCGGCCCTAGCACCCCTGTGGTCAGGTCAGGGCAGTCTAGCACCCCTAACTCTGCTAGCATCTGGTCAACCACAAAGCTGGCTGAGGTTTGTAGAAAGTGATGTTTTACCGCCATGTATTCAGTACTTCCCAGCGACCCCGAAATATTATGTCAGTATCCTTAGGAGGTGTTAGCACTCAAGGTTAAGAAACGTTGCTTTAGAGAGAGCGAAAGAAAGAAAGAGAGAGAGAGATGAAGAAAAAGAGAGGGAAGCAGAAACAGATACAGAGACAACCAAATAGACGTCAAAGTCAAAGAAAGAGAGAGCGAGAGAGGGAGAGAAGCGAGAAAGAGAGAGAAAGGGGGCGAGGAGAGAGAGACAGACAGACAGACAGAGAGAAAGAGAGATAGAGAGGAAAACATAGACAGATACAGAGAGCAACCGATTACAACCAAAACAGACACCAAAGCACAGTAAAGCCAGTATTTAATTGTAATAACGATGACGGTCATACCACCGCCATCACCATCATTATCATCATCACTATCACTATTATTTTTTCTTACCTTATTTTCTCCTTATTATTCTTATTATTATCTTATTATTCTTATTATTCCCCCGCAGGGCGCCGCCGTTGGCCACGTCTGCGCCTCGCCTTCATGTTCTGGATCGGCGTCGGCACGCAGGTCGGCCTCGCGACGGGTGACGTCACGTACCCGAAGAAGCCGCTCAGCGTCAGCGGCTGCAACCTCACCGGAACCACCGCCGGGTTCTCGTCGACCGAGGCGGCCTTCTTGACCTCCTCTGAGACCTCGTTTGTGCCCACTGAGTAAGGGATTTGAGATTAAGTGGGGGCGGGGTTAGGCATTATATATTATATATATATATATATATAATATTTATATATAATATATATATTATATATGTGTGTGTGTGTGTGTGTGTGTGTGTGTGGTATGTGTGTGGATGTGTTCAACGACCATTTCTAAGGTTCAAATCTTTCTCAAATAATATCTAAGCGTAATTTAACACCCATCATACCGATTTCCAGTCTATTTCTATATTTCTGCCCAATTTTGAGCTGTGCCTTTTTTGATGCCCGAATTTTGACTTATGAGCCACTTTTGATACTCTGTATTGAGCTATGTGCCCCATTGCAAACTCTTTTCCTTCTAAACCCCACACCACCTCTTCATATACACGCATTCACCACCACCATTCTCTGTTTTACCCCCAACAGACCTCCCTCAGGAATCCTAGGACTCTACAACCTCTCCTACATGTGGTACTCCGCTACAGGATGCTTTACGGTGATTGTCGTAGGATTGGTGGTCTCTCCTTGCTGACGGGCGGAAGGGATCTGGGAAGTCTCGATCCCCGCACGCTCTCGCCGCCGTTGCTGTGGCTGAGGAAGTGGGTGCCGGCGCTGAGGGCCGTCGGGGAGAATCTGGTGAGGATTTTGTGTCTCTTTTTCACTGCTAGTTTCGGTTTTTTTTCTAGTTTCTTTTTTTTTTTCTTGTTTATTTTGTCTTTGTATCCTTTTTTTCTTCTTCTTTTGTGATTTAAAAAAAAACCTTTGTGATATTCTTTATTTTTTCGATTTGCTTTTGATATTTTGTGTGTTGTTTTTTCTTTTTTTTTTTTTTTATCTTTGATTTTTTTCGTTTTCCTTGTGATTTTTTTTTTTTTTTTCTTTCTTTTTCATTTGTATTCGTTGTTTTCCCTTTTCCTACGTCATTCTTTTAGATTTTGTTTTATCATTTTCCTTTGTGATTCTTTGTTG